TTTCACTATTACAAAACAAAACTGCAGGGAACATTCTTGTTATTATATAGTGTTGGATATTTACATAAGGGTATTTGTGGGACGTGTTCTTAGAGGTAAAATGGCTGGGTAAGAAGGATTGTACACTTAAAATTAAGGTAGACATTACCATATTATTCCCTGTAAAGGTAGTGTCAGTTTCTGCTTCCACCAACATGAGTGTCTCTTCTTTTTTTTTTTTTTTTGAGACAGAGTCTTGCTCTTGTCACCCAGGCTGGAGTGTGGTAGAGCGATCTTGACTCACTGCAGCCTCCGCCCCCCAAGTTCAGGCGGTTCTCCTGCTTCAGCCTCCTGAATAGCTGGGGTTACAGGTGCCTGCCACCACAGCCAGCTAATTCTTGTACTTTTAGTGGAGACAGTTTTGCCACGTTGGCCAGGCTAGTCTCAAACTCCTGGCCTCAGGTGATCGGTCTGCCTTGGTTTCCCAAAGTGCTGGGATTACAGATGTGAGCCACTGCACCTGGCCAAGTGTCTGTTCTTTCATATACCCTTCCCCATTGGAAATAACCTTTTATTTATTTATTATTATTATTTTTTAGATGGAGTCTTACTCTGCCATCCAGGCTGGAGTGCAGTGGTGCAATCTTGGCTCACTGTAACTTCCATCTCCCAGGTTCAAGCAATTCTCCTGCCGCAGCCTCCTAAGTAGGTAGGATTACAGGTGTGTGCTACCACGCCCAGCTAATTTTTGTATTTTTAGTAGAGACGGGATTTCACATGTTGGCCAGGCTGGTCTCAAACTCCTGACCTCAGGTGATCCGCCCACCTCGGCCTCCTAAAGTGCTGGGATTACAGGTGTGAGCCACCATGCCTGGCCAGTATATCCATTTAAAAAAAAAACCAAAACCCTGTGGTTAAAAACCACACAACTTAAAATTTACAAAATTCATTACTTTTAAGTTTACAGTTCAGTAGTGTTAAGTATATTCACATTGTTGGGTAAAAGAGATCTCCAGAACTTTTTCATCTTGCAAAGCAGAAACTCTGTACCTATTGAACAACTCCCCACAGCCCCTCCCACCAGCTCCTGATAATCATCATTCTACTTTCTCTTTTGATGAGTTTAACTATTCTAGGTGCCTCATATTAGTGAAATTATACACTATTTGTCTGTGACCAGCTTATTTCACTTAGCGTAATGGTTAGAAACAAGTCGCTGGTCTTGCCTATACTCAATGGCAGGAATTCCACAAAGGTGTGCTGGGATTACAGGCATGAGCCACCGAGCCCAGCCTCGTTCTGTTTTTTATGGTTTTACTGTTTTGTTTCATTGATATGGCTGTCTATTCCTCTGTCCATTCCCACATCAGTATATTATTTTGGCTTTATAATATGCACTTTGATTTTACTTTTAGTTATGTGTTTTTAGACAGATATATATGAACATCGATTCATGTGGTCTAAGATTAAAAGTAAGCACAACAGCGCAGTGAAAAGTATCCCCTCCATCTCTGTCCTAGCCACCCAGTTCACTCCCCACGGGCACAACCACTGTTGTCATGTTTGTTTATTCCTTTGGGAAATTTTTATTTATGTGTCAGCAAATGTGACTCTGTAGTCCACCTCATGCCATACTTTTCTCTGAAGGTAGCTAACCATACACATGTCTGTACCTTGCTTGAATAAAATTAAAGTTATGAAGTTAAGTGAATAACTTAATCTTGGAGATCTTTCCATGTCAGTTTACAAAGTGCACCTTTATCTTTTTTTTTTTTGGAGACAGTCTTCCTCTGTCGCCAGGCTGGAGTGCAGTAGTGCAATCTTGGCTTACTGCAACCTCTGCCTCCCAGGTTCAAGCGATTCTCCTGCCTCAGCCTCCCGATAGCTGGGACTACAGGTGTGTACCATCATGCCCATCTAATTTTTGTGTTTTTAGTAAAGGTGGGGTTTCACCGTGTTGGCCAGGATGGTCTCGATCTCCTGACCTCATGATCTGCCCGTCTCGACCTTCCAAAGTGCTGGGATTACAGGCGTGAGCCACCAAGCAGGGCCTGTAAAAGAGTACACGGTATTCTTTTATATGAATTTGTCATAATTTATTCAACTAGTTCCCTATTGATGAACATTTAAGTAATTTACAGATTTTTAAACATTATGCTGGAATGAACATTATACATATACAGTTTCATACATGTACAGGTATAGGTGCAAGAAAAATGACTAGAAGTGAAATTGCTGGGGCGCAGCATATGCATGTGTAGTTTGGGTAGATACTGTCAGGTCACCTCCCTAGAAGTCCCTCCCTGCTGTATGTGAAAGTGCCTGTTTGCCCACATCCTCCCTGACACAGTGTTCTGTCAGACTTTTTAATCTTTGTTCATCTTTATTTTTTTTTTTTTTTTGGAGACGGAGTTTCGCTCTTGTTACCCAGGCTGGAGTGCAATGGCGCGATCTCGGCTCACCGCAACCTCCACCTCCTGGGTTCAGGCAATTCTCCTGCCTCAGCCTCCTGAGTAGCTGGGATTACAGGCACGCGCCACCATGCCCAGCCGATTTTTTGTATTTTTAGTAGAGACGGGGTTTCACCGTGTTGACCAGGATGGTCTCGATCTCTTGACCTCGTGATCCACCCGCCTCGGCCTCCCAAAGTGCTGGGATTACAGGCTTGAGCCACCGCGCCCGGACATCTTTGTTCATCTTATAGATTAAAAATCACGTTTCTGTTATTTGTGCATTTTTCTTATGAGTAAGGTGTGTTTTTTCCTGTTTATGGATCATTTATATTATCTTTACCGTGAACAGTCTGTTCATATCTTTTGCCTTTAATTCTTTTGTGTGGTTAATCTTTTCTTACTGATTTTTAGGAGCTTTTTACGTATTAGAAAATCCAGCAATTTATCTGTGATATGAGATGTAAATATTTTCCAAGTTTGCCACTTGTCATTTGACTTTCTTTATAATGGGATTTTTTTTTTTCTAACAGACATTGAAATTTTTTTATCAAAAGTTAATGTTGGCCGGGTACAGCGGGTCACACCTGTAATCCCAGCACTTTGTGAGGCTGACGTGGATGGATCACCTGAAGTTAGCAGTTTGAAACTAGCCTGGTCAACTTAGTGAAACCTCGCCCCTGCTGAAAATACAAAGATTAGCCAGGCATTGTGGCAGGTGCCTGTTATTCCCACCACTCAAGAGGTTGAGGCAGGAAAATCATTTGTACCCAGGAGGCAGAGGTTGCAGTGAGCTAAGATCGCAACTTTGCACTCCAGCCTGGGCTACAAGGGCGAAACTTCATCTCAAAAAAAAAAAAAAAAAAAAAAAAGACAAAAATACATTCCTGTCTTTTTTGTTACTCCCAAGTTTTTTGTTATAGTTAGTAAGTTACCTTCTTTGGTTTCTGCTAACACTTTATACCCTTATTTTTAAATATAAAATCTTTGATCCATCAGGAGCTTAGGCCGGTATAAGGTATGTAGTGTGAATCTGGCTTAATGTTTTCCACTTTGCTAGCTAGCTGCCTCAGCACTGTTTGTTGAATAATCATCTTTTCTCCAGTCGTTTAAATGCTATCTCTATCATATACTGAATTCTGATATGTTTGATTGTATTTTGAGACTTTCTTTTCTCTTTTATTAATCTTCGTGTCCATTCATACACCAGAATCACACTGTTTTAATTAACTTTTTTTTTTTTTTTTTTTGAGGCGGAGTTTCACTCTTGTTACCCAGGCTGGAGTGCAATGGTGCGATCTCGGCTCACCGCAACCTCCGCCTCCTGGGTTCAGGCAATTCTCCTGCCTCAGCCTCCTGAGTAGCTGGGATTACAGGCACGCGCCACCATGCCCAGCTAATTTTTTGTATTTTTAGTAGAGACAGGGTTCCACCATGTTGACCAGGATGGTCTTGATCTCTTGACCTCGTGATCCACCCGCCTCGGCCTCCCAAAGTGCTGGGATTACAGGCGTGAGCCACCGCGCCCGGCCTTTAATTAACTATTATATCTTCATATTATATTTTAGAAAGCTGGTAAGATTAATTCATTTTCATTCTGCTTTTCAGTGATTTTTCTAGGCTATTCTTGCATGTTTATTTTTCCAGCTGAACTTTATTTATTCAACACCAGTGTTACTTGCCAGCCGAATGAACTTTAAAATCGTCTTGTTAGGGTCTTTTTAAAAAATCCTTTCATTGCCGGGCGCGGTGGCTCAAGCCTGTAATCCCAGCACTTTGGGAGGCCGAGGCGGGTGGATCACGAGGTCAAGAGATCGAGACCATCCTGGTCAACATGGTGAAACCCCGTCTCTACCAAAAATACAAAAAATTAGCTGGGCATGGTGGCGCGTGCCTGTAATCCCAGCTACTCAGGAGGCTGAGGCAGGAGAATTGCCTGAACCCGGGAGGCGGAGGTTGCGGTGAGCCGAGATCGCGCCATTGCACTCCAGCCTGGGTAACATGAGTGAAACTCCATCTCAAAAAAAAAAAAAAAAAAAAAAAATCCTTTCATTAATGGGTTTTATGCAGCTGAGTGATATGATCAGATTTGTGTTTTAGGAAAATTATTCAGCCTGCAGGGTGGAACTAGGTTGGAAGAAACAAGATTAGAGACAAAAAGATCGGTTACAAGATTGTTGAAGTCATCCAGGGGAGAATGGGTAGATGAGCAGTTGAGGATAGTGTTGGGTTCTAGAGGTGTTTCCAAAGTCACAATGGCCAGGGGCATTGGTCTGCACCTGAAGCCTCAGCTACGCAGGAGGCTGAGATGGGAGGACCACTTGAGCCCAGGAATTTGAGGCCAGCCTGGGCAACACAGTGAGACTCTATCTCTAAAAAAATAAAGAAATGATACAATAAATAAATAAAAACAAATAGTCAAAATGAGCAGACTTGCAGATGACTGAGATGCTCAGGGGTGAGGGAGGAGGCACCCAAGGATGACCCCAAACGTGCTGGGTTGGGCGGTTCAGTGATGCCATTCTCAGCAGTTTGAAACACATGAGCTATAGGGTGTGGCTTAGGAGGAAGATGGCAAATTCACTCCTAAATATGTTGAGTTTAAAGTGCCTGCAGGTAGTCCTAGAAAAGTGTGGTCCAGTGGGCTGTTGAATGTACAAGTTCGAAGCTCTGGAGAGAGATCCAGGCTAGAGAGTTGGTCTTATATGACAGAGCCCTGAGGAGCCCCTTAAGGGATGGTCAGGAAGTTCAGGAGCGCGCAAAGACGACTGGAAAGAAACACTCAGAGAGGTAGGAGAAAAATGGGAGCACACGGAGCCCCAGGAGCCAGGAGAAGAATGTTTTCAGCAGAGCAAACTGTCAGTAATTTCCAGTGCTTCCAAGAGGCCAGGAGCTGAAAATGCCCATTGGGATTTAGTAGTAAGGAAAGTCTGTGGTTATCTTGAGAAATTTCAGTGGAGCAGACGGGTTGGTGCTGAGGTCTGTGGGAGGTGAGGAAGTGGATGGAGGCACCTCCTTCATCACAAAGCTTGGTTGTGAAGAGAGACAGGCAAGGAGGCGGAATAGGATGACGCAAGTTAGCAACTGATGTATCTCCTCCCTCCCCAGCTTTCCGTGGGAGAGGCTGGGCCATGCGTTTTGTTTTGTTTTTCGAGATAGAGTATTGCCCTCGTGCTCAGGCTGCAGTGCAGGGGCTCGCACTGGCTCTTGTCTTCCCGGCTGTAGCACATCCCAGTGACAGTTAATCTTGCCGCTTTCAGTCTCCCCGTTATCATTAAGTGCTGGGCTTACAGGCGTGAGCTGTCAGGCCCAGCGTTCGGACCGGGTTTAGATGCGGATGGGAAGAGCTAATAGAGGAGAGGAGGAAGCAGTTTGTGACCCTGTTCTTTGAGGACCAGGTAATACTGAGAAGGATATAAGGGGCTGGAGAAATTGGCCAAATCTGTTTGGAAGAGAGTAAGTCAGTTATAGTGTGAGGATATGTTTCCTGCCAGTTTTGACTTTTAATTTTGTTGAGTTTTCTAATATTTTTGCTTGGCACTTTTGAGAAGGAGCCTCTAAGAAATTGGAATCAGGTTTAGAAATTTAGTTGAAGATTCAGTTTGAAAAGTAAGGCACAGACACTGTATTAGCATGCTACCATTCGTGTAAAAAGGGAGGAGATACCTGCACTCCCATGTGTATTATAGCACCATAGTATTTACAACAGCCAAAATACGGAGTCAACCTGGGTGCCCATCAACAGATGAATGGATAAAGAAAACGGGTCATGTATACACAATGAAATGTCATCCAGCCATAGAAAAGAATGAAATCCTCTCATTTACAGCAACATGGATGGAGCTGGAGGCCATTTATGTTAAGTGAAGTAAGCCAGGAACAGAAAGGCAAATATTGCTTGTTCTCACTCATATGTGGGAGCTAAGAAAGTAGATCTCACAATGACACACAGTTAGATTGGTGACTACAAGAGGCCAGGAAAGGGAGAGGTGGGATGGAGGAGAAAAAGGGATATAAATGTATGCGTTTATTTATTTAATTTTATTATATCTATGTTTTTAAAAATTTTGTTATTTTTGAGACTGAGTCTCGTTCTGTTGCCCAGGCTAGATAGAGTGCAATGGTACGATCTCGACTCACTGCAGCCTCTGCCTCCCGGTTTCAAGCGATTCTCCTGCCTCAGCCTCCCAAGTAGCTATGATTACAGGCACTTGCCACCACACCTGGCTGATTTTTTGTATTTGTAGTAGAGACGAGGTTTCACCATGTTGGCCAGGCTAGTCTCAAACTCCTGACCTTGTGTTCCGCCCACCTTGGCCTCCCAAAGGGCTGGGATTACAGGCATGAGCCACCTCGCCTTGCCAAATGTATTTATTACATGTATGAACTATACACTTAAAAACGGTAAAGAAGGGCCAGGCACAGTGGCTCACCCCTGTAATCCCAGCACTTTGGGAGGCCAAGGTGAGCAGATCACTTGAGGTCAGGAGTTTGAGATGAGACTGGCCAACATGGTAAAGCCCCGTCTCTACTAAAAATACAAAAATTAGCAAGGCATAATGGCATACACCTGCAATCCCAACTACTAGCTACTCCAGATGCTGAGACAGGAGAATTGCTTGAACCCAGGAGGCAGAGGGTGTAGTGAGCTGAGATCTCACCATTGCACTCCAGCCTGGGCGACAGAGCAAGACTCCACGTCAAAAAATAAAAATAAAAAATGGTAAAGATGATAAATTATACACGCCTGTGTAGTCACATTATACATCTATGTATAATAAGGAGCAGAAGTAATATGTATTCGTATTTGCTATACATACATCATCACTATTTCGAAGGACTCAGAAGAAGCAAAAAATCTGGTTATCCACTGGGAGGTGGGAACTGCGTTGAAGCAAACAAGTGTCGAGGTTGCCTTGGCACTCCCCACTGTTGTGTTGTATATTTTTTGAGAATGTCAGTATATTACTTATTTAAATAATGTCATCCTAGCTGGTTATCTTTAAAAGCAGTGATTATTGCAGGGCCTGAATTTTCTTATTTGTTAATGATTCTAAGTCTGTAATCTGTCTGTTCTGTGTCTAAGAAGCTCATCTTGCTGTGTGCATGTGAGGTGTGGATCTTTACCTGTACACTTGGCCCTCTATATCTCAGGGTTTTGCATGTGTGGTTTCAACCAATTACAGATCAAAAACATTTGAAAAAAAATTGTATCCTTATTAAACATGTTTTTTCTTTGTCATTATCTCCTAAACGATACAGTATGACAGCTATTTACATAGCATTTCCTTTGTATTAGGAATTATAAATAATTTAGAGGTGATTTTTAGTATATTGGTAGGATGTGTGTAGGTTACATGTAAATACTGTGCCCTTTTATATCAGGGATTTGAGTATGCACAGATTTTAGTGTCTGCAGGAGGCCCTGGAACCAATCCCCCTGCTGTGCTGTACTGCTGTGCTCCACTCTTCCCCACTGGGGACCAGCAGCCTTGGGGAAGTGGACAGTCCTGGATCTTGGTCCAGGAAGAGGACCCTGGCCTGGAACATCCTGGCCCTGTTCACTGTGGCTTGACCGAGTGGGCCCTAAGCCTGGCTTTACATGGAAGAGGAAATGGGGGAGTCATTATTGTGTCATAGGCAAAAGCCTCACACTGGCTCTCACCTTCCTGTGGCTGTGGGAAATCCCAGTGACAGCTAATCTTGCTACTTTCAGTCTCCCCCATTACCATGCTAACGAAGAAAATTCTTTATCCTTTCTCTGTAAGTTCTATTGTGATTTTAGAGCAAAGGTCTGAATGATTGCATGGATTAAACATATTTTACTTTTTTTTTCTTTTTCTTTTTTTTTTTTTTTGAGACAGAGCCCTTGCTCTGTTGCCTAGGCTGGAGTGCAATGGTGTGATCTTGGCTCACTGCAGCCTCCACCTCCTGGGTTCAAGCGATTCTCCTGCCTCAGCCTCCCAAGTAGCTGGGATTACAGGTGCCCGCCACCACACCCAGCTAATTTTTGTATTTTTAATAGAGACAGGGTTTCACCATGTTGGCCAGGCTGGTCTCGAACTCCTGACCTCAGGTGATCCACCCATCTCAGCCTCCCAAAGTGCTGGGATTACAGACATGAGCCACCCGCCTGGCCACATCTGTTACTTTTAATCTCTAGTTTTATATTACATTTGATTGCACACACCTGCTGAAAAGCACCACTTTTTGAAGTGACAAAAAGTCACTTGAAAACTTTGAACTCCCACAAAAAATAATCACATTCACTAATGAATATTTCTCCTTATTCATTTTTTAGGGTACCAGGTAAGGAGAATCTCCAGTTTAGTTAGGACTGTGCCCAGCCTGAGTTCCCATTTTGCTAATTAAAATCCTCAGATGACTATACATGTTATTCTTCTGAAAACTGAGAAAACTGGTTAATCACTGTTCACTTGTCTAGGTTCTCAGAGGCTCAGAGCTGAAGCCAGGAGGCAGGAGAGGATCGCATTATGAGCTTTACTCCTCAGTAACTCCTAAGGCTCACAGAGTGGTTAGTTTTCCTCCCCTGTCTGTAGGCAAGAGTGGGGACTTGCAGATAGGAAGAAAAGGTTTCTCTAGTGTCAGTCCTGCTGGTTTTTCTTTTTTTTTTTTGAGACAGGTGTCGCTGTGTCAACCAGGCTGGAGCGCCATGGTACAATCGCAGCTCACTGCACCTCTGCCTCCTGATTTCAAGCAATTCTCCTGCCTTAGCCTCCCATGTAGCTGGGATTACAGGCCATGCATGACCACACCCAGCTAATTTACATATTTTTAGTATAGATGGGGCTTTGCCATTTGGCCATGCTGGTGTTGAACTCCTGATCTCAGGTGGTCCACCCGCCTCAGCCTCCCAAAGTGCCGGGATTGCAGGCATGAGCCGCTGCACCCAGCCTGCTGGTTTTTCTATTTGTTTGACCAAAGGAATGCCAGGCCAATTCGGTCTCCAAGCAAGCAACCAGGTCTAGTTATGACTTTGCCTCAAACTAAATGGAGAATCTGGTTTCATGGACCAGTTCTTCCGTTTTTGGTAGCGTGGTTCGTCATGGAGACTGCAGTTCCTACCATGGTGAATTTAAAAAAGAAATTTTTATTTTTTGTGTTTTCCTGCTGTTTAAACTATGATGAATTTTTAGCAACCTCTCATCTGTGCAGATTCTCCCAAGAGATAGTGAATGCTTTAGGAACACTTTATACAACTCAGCCTAAGGGAGAACATACCAGAAGCATGGCTGGATGAGAAAGGAGTGGCCTGCCTGGGAAAGTACTTCGTTCCCATCTTCAGAGGGGACCGGTGGCGGCTGGGTGGCCTTTGGTGAGGATGCTGCCTGCTTGCATTGGCTGACCCGGAAGGTCATCAAACTCTTGTGGCTTGTGAGTCCAGACAGAACAGGACACTGCGTGTCTTTTCATGAGCAAGTGGCCAGATGAGGAAAAGTACCCTATGCTCTTTAAAATCAAAAACAGGATGTCATTTTTTAAAAAGCTCAATATGCTTTGTTAGAATTACCATGTGCCATATCTAACTAAATATTCCAGAGCATTTTATTCTTTCCAGACATGTTTTCTCATACTTTCCTAGTTCCTTTGTGATGTCATACGCTTATTTTGTCCTTTAAAGTTATCAATAATGTGAAAAAAAATTGTTTTGTTTTCTTGGCTGGCTATATGGTAGAAAGCTTGGTCTTCCTCTCTTTTTTTTGGCATATGTGTAGAAGTTACTGAGTTAAAACTGAAAAGTCACCTTTAATTTATGGCAGTATCATAATTGTAATTAAATTAAACTTTTTATTTGGAAATGGAAAATCTACCCCAAAGTAGAATAAAGAACCCCCATATACTCATCACCAGATGCGGTATTTTTCACCATTTTGCCACTCTTGTTTCCTCTGTCCCCTTCCCTTTGTTTTTTCTTTTTAAATTCCAAATTAGAGATCTCTCCAAAACTCAGTGAAATGTCCTACTAGGTTGAATCACAGCAGTGGATCTGGTGTGATTCCGAATGTGGCAGGGCTGAAAGGAGGGAGTAGGCAGGCTGGCAGGGGCTGGTCTCTGACATAAGTTTCCTCCGGCGGAAAGAGGCTGGTGTTGGGGTGAACGGAGGCTCAGGCACTTTGACTCCTCTCCTACTTGGCCTGCAGTACCTGCCTGACCCCTCTGGCCTCCAAGGATGCCTTTGGCCAGTGGCCTCACCAGCTGCTCAGCCAGGCTCCTGCTCTGCGCTG